ACGAGACACAAAAACACCCCAAAAACGAATCGATTTTAGAAACAAATTTTTCCGTTGTTACCCAGGCCTATTCTGGGATATAGGGCTGTGTGGAAGGGCCCTTAGATACTCTAGAATATATTGTCCAGAACATTTCCAAGTTCTAGCTCTCATGCAGTAGTCTGACACAATGTCTACTTTTCTGTTGTCTTCCAGCAGTTTATTAATATTTGGGTTAGAAGTTTTGCTATCTCCAAATTACGAAGTGAATTGAATTTCACATGTCAACATCTTACCTAGTTCAGTGAGTCCAGTTCTATCGCATCCTCTGTCAATGTCCCTCTGTTAAAACTGGACAGTCTCTTTCAAGATTAAAGTTTACACTTCAGGGTTGTCGCAGACCCTGATGTTTCTGGGACAAAAAGTGACCTTAGTGACAGCTCCTGGTGATGTCATCAAAAGTTATACATTAAATACCAGCAATAGTTGCTCACAACTTGTCATTCAGACACATCAACTTGCACACATGATGTATTTCAGGAACAACCTCTATTCTGCTACCCACAGTACTTGTTCATGCTGCCTTAGAACTGGCATTCACCGAAGGCCAACTTTATTCCATTTCAGTATCTCATTGAAAAAATACACCAGGAAGGGAGATGATTCCTACTTCACTGCTCAAATAAGCAGCAGCTTAAAGTTTTCATCTATAGTCAGGTCTTTCATATTTATGGGTAGCGGCTGCTACAATTGATCTTCTGGATTCTGCAGGTATGGATTCAATCATCCAGGGTCTAAAAATACCCTAAAAACAAATATTAATTTTGCCATTTTATATAAGGGACACCATTTACTATGGCATTTATATAATGGAACTTGATAATCTATAGATTTTGGTATCAACAGGGGATCCTAGAACCAAACCCCAGGGAATACCAAGGGCTCACTGTATTTGCCTCTTCCCACAATCAGTTACTTGCTAAACGCAATGTTGTGAGGTTGGAAGCAGTTATCTTTCCCATCTTCAGACACTAGAATCATATACTACATGTTTATTGAAAAGCCCTTGAACAAAATAATTGTTGTCAACTCAGGGATGATAATGGCATTGAAGGTTGCAATGGCCAAAGGCAATCCATGCCTCCCCTGTTGTGGCCCGCAATGCAATGTGGGATTCTGCAATCAACACTAGCTTGAATTCTTTGGTGACCCACAAACAAAACAAAACAAAACCACAAAAACAAACTCACTGTATGAATATGATTGGACCATCAGATATGGCATATTGCTTGTTAGTAAATAATCTATTCTTTCATTTCCTTTTCCCAGAAACGCTGTAGTCTCAATTATTTAGGAGGGGTTCCAAAGAAGGTTTAGTAGGACATCCAAGGATCAGAGGAATCCTATATACTACAGAGCTCCCTGTTAATCCTATATACTACAGAGCTCCCTGTCACCTTCAAATCCCTCTTTGAAGGTGAGAGGGTCGGTATATAAAAGCTTGAAATAAATAAATAAATGAAATAAATAAATATGCCTTCTTTGTTTATTACCCCCTTCTTTTGAACATCACTATATTTCCCTTTCATGTCTTTTACAATGATTCCCAATTTGGGGTCCCCAAGTGTTGTTGGCTCACATCTCCCAGAATTTCTGACCTTCGCTATGCTTCTTAGGATTTCTGGGAGCTGAAGCCTAACAATTCTAGAAACCCAAAGCTGAGAATCAGTTTTTAATATTGCAGTGGTCCCCACAAAATTTCATAGACCAGCACAGAAGAGAAGAGACATTCAAAGTACTGCAACGAGAAAACTAGATACGTTATGTAGTTATATCAATCTGTTTTCATAAATTCACTTGATTGCCAAGAACTAAAGAAAAATATGTAAAAGCGAATATGGTTCCACCCAAATTTCTCAGCTTTTTAGTTAAGAGAACCCTTGCCAATCGTGGGTGCTTTCGCTCCTTGGCCTCAAGGAAATCTACTTTTGGTCATGTCCTT